CTTACAGTGGGGCTCCATTTGTCATCTGTTGACAGCACAGTAGGTGGAAAATGCCAGGCTATAGCTTAGCCTGGCACACCTTAGCATGCTCAGAATGCTTACATTAGCCTACAGTTGGGCAAAGTCATCTAACACAAAGCCTATTCTATAAGTGTTGATTGTGTCTTGTAACCTTTTTAATCCTTTATTTTTACTTTATTTGAAAGAGAGGCAGAAGAAGAGATATCTTCCATCCACTGGTTCACTCCCCAAATGCCGGCAACTGCCAGGCCTGGGCCAAGCTAAAGCCTGGGGCCCAGAACTCCATCCAGGTCTCCTGCCTGGGTGGCAGGGACCCAACTACTTGAGCCATTACCTGCTGCCTCCCAGAGGGAGCATTAGCAGGAAGCTGGGCTGGGAGCAGAGGAGCTGGGGCTTGAACCCAGGCATTGCAGTGTGGGATATAGATGTCGCAAGCAGCATCCTCACTCCTGCACCAAACGGCCAGTCCTCATATAATTTACTGAAGACTATTCTGCAAGTGAGACACAGAATGAAGGTGTAGGTGTGCTCTCCCACCACGGGCAAGTGAAAAGTCACAGGTTGAGCCGTCCAAGGTGGGGACCATCTGGAAATGGTTGTACCAGAGCTGTGGACTTGGCCAAGCAGTAAGAGGCAAGGCTTTTGTTCCCTTGTTTCCTACCGGCATCACCCAGGTGGTAGTGGGCTCCAGGTGGGCTCTAAGTGAGCTCTCATAAAGGGTAGGGGTTGGAAGTTCATGTGGCAGAGGAGGAGCTAAGCTAAGAGTAAGATTCCCAGTGGAGGGCTTGTGACCTCGTGAGTGCACCTGCAGAGCTGTGACCAGACTGGTCTGTTAGCGCCTGCTGTGGTCACTGCAGATGCAGGTCACCACACCCAAGACCTGCTTGCAAGGAGCTCAGAGATAGTAGATGAGTGACTGTGGTGACACCTGCACAGTCTCGAGGACCAGGGGCTCTACTGCAGGCAGCAGGCCCGATCCATATTGAGTGTTCCAACTGCTTCTCTGGCCCCTTAGCTTCAACTCTCCTCTACCCCCATATTTTGCTTCTTATATAAAGGAAATGTGTATTCCTTGTAGAGAGATTGGAAAGAGCACAGAGTTCTCGCCGTAATCTCACACAGAAATAATCGCAGCCAACTTCTGAGAATATTTTCAGTCTTGTTTTTGTTTTTTAGATTGATTTTATTTATTTGAAAAAGAGAGAGAAAGGAGAGAGGGAGAGGAAGATGTTGCATCTGCTGGTTCACTCCCCAAATGGCCACTGAGGCTGGGGCTGGACCAGGCCAAAGACAAGAGCCAGGATGAAGGAGCTTCGTCCAGATCTCCCACGTGGATGCAGGGCCCTGGGACCTCTGCTGCTTTCCCAAGCGCGTTAACAGAGAGCTAAGTTGGAAGTGGAGCAGCCAGGACTTGAACCAGCACCCATAAGGAATGACTGGCACTGCAGTGGCTTAACCCATTATACCACAATGCCAGCCCTTTCAATCTTTTTTTAAAAATACCTGTACTTGCTATTGGTGGCTTTCTGTTTTATTGTCCTGCCCAAAAAAAAGAGAATCATGGGACATGGATTTATAACCTGATTTTTTAAGTGTGCAGCTTGGTGGTTTCAGTGAATTCACAGTTGTGCAACCATGGGGCTGTCGCTGTGGCATAGTGGGTAAAGCCACCGCCTGCAGTGCTGGCATCCCATATGGATGCTGGTTCAAGTCCCGGCTGCTCCACTTCCGATCCTGCTCTTTGCTATGGCCTGGGAAAGCAGTAGAAGATGGCCCAACTCATTGGGCCCTGCACTCATGTGGGAGGCCCAGAGGAAGCTCCTGGCTCCTGGCTTCAGATCAGCGCAGCTCCGGCTGTTGCAACCAGTTGGGGAGTGAACCAGCAGATGGAAGACCTCTCTTTCTCTGTCTCTCTGTCTCTCTCTCTCTCCTTCTGTGTAACTCTGACTTTCAAATAAATAGTAAATAAATCTTAAAAAAAAAAAAAAAAAGTTGTACAACCATCATCACTATTGGATTCCAAAACATTTTCCATCCTACCAACAGGCAGTTCCATACCATTAGCAGACATTCTTAATTTCCCTCCCCTCCAGCCCCTGATAGCCTGTATCTCCATTCTGTCTCTGGGCCTGCCTGTTCCAGACACTTCACAGAAATGGGACATGCACTGTGCACCCTTTTGGATTTTCTTCCTCCACATTGTATGTTGTTTTCCAGGCTCATCTGTGTTGTGTCGGAACTTCATTTCTACCCGTGGCTGAATACTATGCCATTGAATGGAAAGACTCCATTTTGTTTATCCATTCATTAGTTGGTGCACTTGTGGGTTATTGCCACCTTTTAATAATTTATTGTATCTTTGAGCCAGGCAGAGTGGACAGTGAGAGAGAGAGACAGAGAGAAAGGTCTTCCTTTGCCGCTGGTTCACCCCCCGCCCCAAAGGCTCCTGCGGGCGGCGCGCTGCGGCTGGCACACCACGTTGATCCAAAGCCAGGAGCCAGGTGCCTCTCCTGGTCTCCCATGCGGGTGCAGGGCCCAAGCACTTGGGCCATCCTCCACTGCACTCCTGGGCCACAGCAGAGAGCTGGACAGGAAGAGGAGCAACCGGGACAGAATCCGGCGCCCTGACTGGGACTAGAACCTGGTGTGCCAGCACCTCAGGCGGAGGATTAATTAGCCTGTTGAGCCACAGCACTGGCCGCCACCAATTTTTTTCTTAAATGACAACCATTATGTGTTAAGTACCTCCCTTTTAGCCAACACTGTGTACTTGGCCATATTAATAAACCTGGCCTCTGGAACAGGCACTTCAAATATTTCTTTTGTCTTGAGGGTGCATTTGTTTTTTTCTGTTTACTCTTTTTGAGAGGCAAAAGAACACAGACAGAGCTCCCTTCTATTAGCTCACTCCCCAAATGCCACAATTGCCGGGACTGGGCTGTGTTGAGGATGGAACTGGACCGGGGGCAGAGCCAGCAGCCAGGATCACACTCCTAGTCTCCCAGTCCAGTCCTCCCACAGGGGTGGCAGGAACCTCATTATTTGAGCCATCACTGCTTCCTCGCAGGATCTGCATTGGCAGGAAGCTGGAGCCAGGAACCGAACCCAAGTACTTCAGTGTGGGATGTGAGTGTCTTAACTGCGAGGCTAAACATCTACTTTTGGGATGCATTTTATGGTTTTCTTTTTTGTTTATATTCTATTCCTGTACCACACTTATGTTATATCATTCCATTAGATAGATATGCCACAATTTATTTAATCAACTGCCTATTTGCAAATCATTTGGCTTCTTCTGATTTTATCTTAATCTTACAAACCCTACTAAAATAAACTGTCATGTAGAAAGCATATCTGCTAAAAAGAGCTTTCATACAGAAAAATCCTACATGCATCCATAATCACTTTTTAAGGGTAAATTCCTAAACTTCTAAGGCTTTGGATAGATGCTGCCTAGGGCCTTCCAGCATGCTCTTCCTGATTTCCAGTCCACAAGCTTGAAGCTGCCTCCGAGGACTGATCAGTGGTTCCCTGGAAGAGAGGCCAGGTGGAGGAGTGTCCTGCGCTGGGATGTGGGGTCTCACCAGAGGGAAGCATCAGGGGGAGTCAGGGCTGGAAACGTGGGCGGCAGGACACCAGCAGGACAGACAGACCTCCCTGCTCTCAGAGCTGGCCCTCCTGCAGGAGGAGGCAGAGGGTAGACAGGGCAGCCAGGCAGGCGTATTTGGCAGCCTGTCCCAAAAGCCCTAAATGTTGGATTTCTCCTTAGGAAATAATTATGGGTGCAGGTGATATGAGTGTTTTCTCTGTAGAAGCTCTTCATAGCCTGTAAATACAGAGGGGCTCCCTGGGGCAGGCCGCTGAGAAGGAACCGGCTTTGATTCTGGGTGCTGGAAGGAGTCACTGGAGGGGTGTGAGCAGCGGAAGGTCATGGTCGGACCTGTAGTTCGACAGAATAGAATCACTGGCTGCTGCGGGCTCACTGATGCAGGCCAGGACTGTGGTCCTTCGGAGGGAGGTGTGAGAGAAAAAGGAGTCAGATGAGTGGGAGAGTTGCCATTGACTGAGACGGGGAGGGGAAGCGAGGAACGGGTGTGTGTGAACAGGAGGGAGACGGGTGGGTGCAGAGCGTGCTGCGTGTGACGCCTGCTCAGCCCCACGGAGAGCAGGCGTTCACGTTCCAGGCTGGGGAGGAGAATTTGAGAGTCATCAGCATATGGAACCGTGGCCCTGGGACTGAATGAAGATGCCAAAGGAGGCAGGAACAGAGGGAGGAGATGAGGGCCCGGCACACTTAGGATGGTGGGAGGTGGCCCGGGAGTAGAAGGAACCCGAGCAAGGCCAGTGTGGGGCTTAACAGCGTGGAGCGCATTAGTGATTGGTCTGGTAGCCTCAGCAGAGTGGTGGGGTTAAGACTTCACGGGGGCAGGGTCCTGAGAGAGTGGGAGTGAGAACTAGAGCAAGATGCTTAGGAAGATTGACCTGGGGGGGTGGGGGCTGACAGGGCAGTGGAGGTCGGGAGACCCATTTTGTCTTAAGGGGAGAAACCACTGGGTGTGTTCATTTCCCATCACTGCTGTCACAAATGACCACAGGGCTGGCTCCTGCCAGGGCATCCCAGAGGGTCCCTCTCCTTGTCCCATCAGCTTCTGTCCCACCCGCATTCCTTGGCGCACAGCCGCATCCTAAATTGTCATTAAAACCTGAATGCCAGAGACTGCACTGTGTGGCTTGAGCGTGGATGCTGGGGGCCGCTGCCTGTGGCTCACCACGCACCGCTGTGTGCCTTGAGCTGGTTGTGTAACCTCTCCGTGCCTCAGTGTCCCCGTCTGTAACTTGGGAGTGGTGGTACTCCCTGTTGCCCACAGTCGTTAAGAGATGAAAGAGGCTCATAAAGAGTGTAAGGTGAGGCCCCACACCGAGAAGTAACGGCAGTGAGACTAGCACAAGGCACCCAGGCTCTTCACCCGGCTGCGGCATTTATCCCCTCGAGACCAGTCCTCGTGACCAGCCCCATGCTCTCGCCCCACCGTGATTATTTGGAGCAAGTTGCTGACCCCATACCATTTCATGTGTAACCGAGTGTATTTCCAAAAGGAAGAAAATCCTTTTATAAAAATTGTCACAGTAGCACCATCGTACCTCAGGAAAGAAAAGTGAGATCTCTGAAGCTACCAGGATCCATTCAGGATCCACTCTTCCCCACGGCGTGCGCCACGGCTGATGCGTCTCGGTTTCCCACGTTGCCTTTTTTTCTCCTTCCTTGTGGTTCACTGTTTAAGAAAGGGGTCACTCGTCCTGTAGTGGTGCCGGGGTGTCTGCCGTGGTCATCTGTCCGCTGTGCTCTCTCTGGGTTAGTAGTCAGGGCTCCTCAGTCACGCTCAAGTTCATGGCTTAAATGAAATCCACAAGCAAAACACTATGAGGAAAGACACAGATACAATGTATTCCTGTCTTTACCTTTGCTATGACAAAATGGCAAAGCCAGAAATATACAAAGAAAAGGTGTTTATTTAGCTCACAGTTCTGGAGGCTGAAAACCCGGAGAGCCTGGTGCTGGCTCAGCCAGGGACCCCCTGGCTGCAGCTCATTGTGGCGGATGGCGTCACGGCAGGTGTGTGCGTGCAGGAGAGCGCATGATGAGACGGAAGCTAGAGAGAGGCAGAGATCCAGTTTTGTTGTTTCATAACAACCCACTCTCCAGGGAACTAACTGGAGTCCCTTCCAAGAGCAGCACCCCCAGTGACCTAATTACCTTGCACCAAGCCCCACCTCTTAAAGGGCCCACCACCTCTCACATCACCATACTGGGGGACCAAGTTTTCAGCACATGAACCTTGGAGGACAAGCCACAACCACACTGTAGCATACACTTTTAATCTGAGAACTGGTATAACCAGAAAATGGTTAAAAGTTACAAGACACAGATATTTCACCATTGAAGAAGTTAATATCCAACACAAGGCGGGGGGGGACCCTCACGAAGAGAGGGAAACCCAGTGGAAAAAGAATGTGAAGTCCGTGAGGAAGCCAGGCGCCCCCTGGGTGACAGATGCCTCCCTAGTTTCCAGGCATTCATGCAGCTAAACGTGAGCCCATTCCTTATCGTAACCAGTGTGTGGTGCAGGTCTGTCGTTACCTCTGCTGTGCAGGAGAGGAGAGGGAGGCAGGGTCAGGGGACTTGGCCAAGGCCAAACAGCCTCGTGCTCATGAGCTGTCCCAGAGGGACGTGGTACAGACGGCACCGAGAGCCGCTCAGCGCAGCTGGGGAGCCAGGGATGGCAGGGTGTTGTGTTTACTCTCACGCTGGCCAGCAGAACGATCCCGATACATCCCTGGGTGATGCTCTGGGCAGGTGACTGCCCCTCGTTGCGGGAAGCACGTGGGAATCGGTAAAACCTTCCTGAAGGGCAGCCTGGCCACAGGGGGCCTCGTGCAGAAGGAAGCATGGGAGAGGTGTGCACGCGGAATCAGGAGACGTTCGACGTTCTAAATTCATTTGAGGCGCATTCCTGACATCATAGCATTCATCTCTCTGTGTGTGTTTCTGGGGCCTGGGGTACTGGCACCTGCTTCAGTCTGTCCTGCCCGGCGTTCTTGGCGCGCTTGCCTTTCCCCGCACTCTGGACCAACAGGCGCACGTCAGGTGCCCGGACATGGCGCTAGAGGGAGGAGCACCTGACAGACCCAGGCTGCTGCCCCCTCTGCACCTCTGAGCCTGGAGGGAGAGGCGACAGTGACAGCTCCTCTGTGTAAGATGGAAATAAGGGCCCCCTCTTCTGGGGATGGAAGGGGGTCCATGGCCCACCTTGCCTGGGGCAGCTTGCAGGTGTACCAAATGGAAAGGGCAAGGGGCAGAATCTACACCGTGACCCCACTCACGTTTACAGGATAGAAAGCAGGGCCTGAGGCAACTCGCTTTATAGAGAAGAGGTTTATATCGCTCAGTTTGGGGGATTGAAGCCTGCGGTCTGGCGGCTTTATTGGCTTGGTCCCTGATGAAGGTGGCAGAGTACATGCAGAGGAAGGGTCACAGAGAGTGGGCCCAGTCTCAGGCAAGAACGACCATCCAAGAAAACACCCCCAGTAGCCTAAGCACCTCCCACAAGTCCATTTCCTTAACTGGGTTCAATTTCCACCCTCTTAGTACCATTAACTAATTCTTTGGGATTTAAAGTCCTGTATGAGTTTGAGAGAGAGCCAAATCACATTCCAACTACAGCAATAACAGAAGATGGGGGAGGGCACATGGTAGTGCAGTACGTTAAGCCACCACTTGGGTGCCTGCATGCCATATCAGAGTAGCAGTTCAAGTCCCAGCCCCTCCGCCATCCAGCTTCCTGCTAATGCATTCTGGGAGGCAGCAGGTGATGCCTCAAGTGCTTGGCCCCTGCCTCCCACAGGGGGGGCCTGGGTGGAGGCCTAGATTCCTGGCTTTGGTCTGGCACAGCCCCAGTTGTTGGAGGAGTTTGGGGAGTGAACCAGTGAATCAAGACCTCTTCTCTCCTTCTCTCTCTCTCTCTGCATTTCAAATAAGTAAATGTATTTTTTAATCTTTAAGGAATGCTTTATTGAGATATAACTCACCCAGCTTCAAGGGTGCAGTTGAGCACATTTGTCTGTTACAGAGCTGTGTGAGTTATTTCAGAGCAGAGCTCGCTCGTGCTGCAGCGTGTGTCAGTGCTGCGTTTCTCTCTGTTGCCCAGTAGCGTTCCTTGCATGGCTATGGCACGTTTCCAAGTCTCCATTCATCAAATGACAGACATTCAGGTTGTTAGATATTTTGGCTATGGCAAATAATGCAGCTATGAACGCTGAGTAGCACTTTTTGTGTGGACATTAGTTTTTATTTTTTCAGTTGCATACCTGGAAGAAGAATTGCTGGGTCCTGTGGCAGTGCTGTACTTAACCTTGGGAAAACTGCCAGACTGTTTTGGTGACCACACCATTTTACGTTGTGTAAAAGCGCCACTTCACCCACATCCTCCCCAGCACTTGTTATTAGCTTTTTTATTTTAACCAATCCTAGTGGGTGTGGGATGGTATCTCCTTATAGCTTTGATATGCATCCTCTGTTAGCTAACTATGCTGAGGACCCCAAAGTTTATATTTGTGTTTTTTAAATTTTTATGTATTTACTTAAGAGACAGAGAGAGAGAGGCAGGAAAGAGCTCCCACCCACTGGTTCACTCCCCCAGGTGCCCACAACAGTTGAAAATGGGCCAGGCTGGGGAAGGAGCTCCCATGTGGAGGATGGGGACCCAACTACTTGGCTCCTCACTGCTGTCTCCAGGGTGCACATCAGCAGCCGTCTGGAATTGGGAGCCAGAGCTGGGAAGCCACTGCAGGCACTCTGATACGGGCTGCTGCCATCAACCACTGGGCTGAACGCCCACCCCTGCAAGGTCTTTTTTAGCATCCATTGGCCTTGGAGCCAACATTCCCTCCTGAGAACCCCAGATGTGTTCAGTGCTGATGTCCCTCCCTGGAGATCCTGGTGCCTTCAGACTCACCAGCGGTGTACTTGCCCAGAAGTTCTGAGGAATGCAGAGGCAGCGGGGCCTCAGGGCTCTTGTTCCTTTGCAAGAAGGTGTAGGGACTGAAGATGGGCATCTTGTGTGTCGTTGCAACCAAGTCCTTGCTTATCCACGATTCCAGCAGTCTTTCCTCTTCCTCTCCAGGAGGTCCAGATGGCTCCTGTGACTCCATCAACGTCTTCACTCCAGCTAGGTAAGTGGTTTGTTAAGCATGTGTGTTTGTGGAAAGCAGGTGCAGATCTTGCCTGGGGTTAGGAGACTTCAGGGAAGACCCAGGGCAAAATGCTCGTGGCCACTCTGGGCAGCCCTCTACAGGCCTGAGGGGCTTTAGGAGGGAATCTGAAGGACGGAGCAAGCCTGCCCCTCCCAGTTCCGTGAGCAGAGAGCCCTGGGGAGGGAGTGGAAGGTCCTAGAGATGAGTAAGTGCAAGTTGTAAATGGACAACCCAGCGGCAACAGTGGGACACCCACAGAGGCCAGCACTCAGCAGCTTTTGCTTGTCCAACATAACATGGAGCTCTCAGGACTGAGCATAAGGGGAAGGCTGCACAGACCAGCTGAGTCCAGGCGCAGACCAGCTGAGTCCAGAAATTCCAGTCCCCAGGGCCTGTCATTTCCAGGTTGGCTGTAATGACACAGCAGGCTAAGCAGCAAAGAAATCCCCTGCCTTGCTTCCCTTCCTGCAGAGTGATGGGGTTTCCTGGGGAGGGAACTGCCACAGCTCCACCCGCGTCTGAGGCCCCTGGACTTGCCCTGGGTCACATTTTTATGGGGGAGGGGGGATGTTGACGCCTGTGGGGCTGGAGTGGGTGGTGATTCTAGGGTGGGGGCCGGGGTGGGGGGGTCCTTCCATCTGGAGGAGATGCTCTTCCCTTGGGCCCCCTCCTCCATTCGTGTCCTTTCTGAGTTTAGTCCTGGGCATGTTTCCAGAGCTGCACGTACCGACTGTGAGCATGCACCCTAGACCGCTGCCGCCTCTGGTGAGCAGGTCAGGGGGTGCTGGTCAGGCCCGTGTGCAGCGCCTTGTCCCACATCTCTGGAGCAGGCCCAGAATGCACCCCTGACGCCAGGCTGCTCTAGTCGGGGGGCTGAGAAGAAACCAGGAACTTAGCAGGAAGGGGGTGATGGCCGTGAGGCTGAAGTCACCAGAAAGGAGGGTGGTCGCTCTGCAGAGTGCTGGGGGGAGTGCCGCGAATCCCGGCCTGCGAGAGCCCTGGCGTCGCATCGCAGATGGCACTTGTGTTTCTGTGCCCTGGGGTCCGTGTGAGGGTGAGGAGGGACAGAGAACGGGGCTGCTGCCGTGTAGCGCATGTGTGGGCCGCCCCGCCGTCCCGTAGACAAGGATGAAAGAAGGCTCAGCCGGGAAGCCGGTCTCACGAGGAGGAAGCCAACGGGTTCGAGGTTGACTGACAGGAGAGAGCGGAGGGAACAAGTGGCTTCTGGGAGTGTGGCTGGAGCCAAGCTCTGGAAGCCCCGGTCTGTTTCCAGGCTGGGGCTGGAAGGGGGCACCGGTGGGAGCGGGGCTGTGCTCCAGGCAGCCCGGAGAGCCCCCTGGGAGGGGAGGGAGGCAGGTGTGGGCTCCGGAATCCGGAGGTGGGGGAAGCATTCTGCCCAGAGGCTGTGGCGCAGGCATTTCGGCCGGCACGGGAGGATCAGACCTGAGAGTTGGGAGCTCCTTCTGGCAGCCGAAAAGCCTCTCGCGGACTTGTCACTATCATCTGGGCCACGGGGATTGTCACATGCCAAGGGGGTGGCAATAGAAAGCGGGGAGGGTGGGAGAGGGAGCTGAGGTGGGGCGTGACGGAGGGACTGATGGATCCGCTGCCTCCCTCGGGCGCCTGTGCTGCCGCCGGCCAGGGCAGGCCTCCAAGAGGCCTCCGTTCCTGCTCTAAGGCCAGGAACCACGTCACTGGAACCACGGGGTTTTTTTTAGACCTGTCATTCAGGAGCCAAGGCGGAATCCTACCATTTCCAACATAAAAAACAAACATCATCTGGCGCTTTCTGGTTCCAGTAGATGGAAGTCCCCTCACTAAGAGGAGGGCAACCTCGGGCACTGTGAAAGCCCAGCAGAGTGCCTCAGCCTTAGCCCTGGCCCCGGGCCCCGCGCCCCACCGCCTGCTTCCTGCGGTCGGTGCTGCCAGTGGGAGGCTGAGCCTGGGCAAGATGACGTCACCCAGGGTCACCGAGCAGCTGAGCTCGCCCTGCCATGTTCCAGGTGCTTTGCCAGCCCACGGTACTGTGTGGTCATTTGCATTAAATTCAAGCTAGCCAAGGGCAGCAGACGGAGTGGGGGCTCCTGATAGCCTCCATGGGTGCTGGTCCTGAGCGCCTTGGCAGTCATTGACCCTTGAACCTGTGAGCACTGAGGGCCTCTTCCCTGCAAGCATCCGTGCACACAGCATTCTGAATTGATCCCTAGCGCTCAGGGCCCTCCTTGAAGGCGATCCATGCACTTTACACCCTAGATTCCCCCCTGGGTCCCCTGTGCCAAGGAGAAAAGGGACTGCCTGACCCCTTGAATGTCTGCCTCTTCTCTCTTTGCTGCCGCCCTCCTCTCCCAGGGATGCTGGCAAAGCACCGCGTGGCCCCAGGCTTAGCTGCCAGGGAGAGCCCCCTGGAGAAACAGGGTGACAAGTCTCTGTACGTATGGGTGGAGATCATGGGGCGGGGGGGTCGCCTGGTTGGAATTTGGGAAGTTGGAAGCTGAACTCCTTGGGGAAAGATGGAAAGAGGAGAAGCCAGGATGAAGGAAGCAGGCTCCAAGCCAGGGCCAGGGCTGGTGCCGTGTGCTCGCGCCAGGCGCCAGGTGCGGGCCTTACCGCACAGGAGTGCTCCCAGCAGTGGACCAGCTGCCTGCTCGTGGCCTGGGGCAGTAGCTCAACTCCTCCCTGCCTCGGTTT